TTGAAATAATGGACTGTCAAGTCAGCTGTGGAATTCCCACGGGAATTTCGTGTTTGGGGGACGTTAAAAATATAGAACCTTATCTTCTGGTGTTATTCTTTGATCAAAATCATACACACCTGTGACTGTATCCCTTCAGGCTTTCTTTTCTCCTTTCCCATATCAGAGCTCCCAGAAGCACACTGCGTTTAGTGAGTTGACCTCTGCCGTCATCCCTGATATATCACTGGCGACAAATGCGACGGAGCCATGACATCTGGCACAGGTGAAACATAATGTTTGCGCTATGTTGATTTGTTAAGGAAAAACAATGATTGCAACATGTTGATCTGTTATCTGGTGTACCATGTGTTCGACATACCTAACCATCACCAGAATCAGGGATTACCTTCCTGTCTCGCCCTATCAAAATGGATAACCTGGGTATTTCTGTCTCGCCCCATCTACATGGATAACATGGCTTTTTTGTCTAGCCCAATCCACATGTATAGACTTAGCCTCTAAGGTTGTGATCACACTCGGAAGGTACTGTCTCGATCAGATTCCTGCGGCCGTAGACACAGAAGTAAGGGAACTGATACAGTTACTCAAATGTTCAAACATCTACTTTGGTTGAGACGGTTACTCAAATGTTCCAACATCTACTGTGGTTGAGACTGTTACTCAAATGTTCCAACATCTACTTTGGTTGAGACAGTTACTCAAATGTTCCAACATCTACTTTAGTTGAGACAGTTACTCAAATGTTCCAACATCTACTTTAGTTGAGACAGTTACTCAAATGTTCCAACATCTACTTTGGTTGAGACTGTTACTCAAATGTTCCAACATCTACTTTGGTTGAGACAGTTACTCAAATGTTCCAACATCTACTTTTGTTGAGACTGTTACTCGAATGTTCCAACATCTACTTTTGTTGAGACTGTTACTCAAATGTCCCAACATCTACTTTGGTTGAGACTGTTACTCAAATGTTCTAACAGTGTACCGTAAAGATTCATCGACTGGCAAGTACTTAAACTTCTACAATGTTGTTTCTATTAAATAAAAACATGGCTTGATGTGGAATTTTTTAACCGTGTCAGAAAGATTTGTACCGTGGATACACAGACAACAAAAATTTAAACCACAAAAATTACTTTATGTCTAAATGTGTACCCCACAGGATTTATCAAACTCCGCATCATCCCACATAATTCAACCCCAGTGAAATCACAGCTCGCAAATTGGAAGCATTCATCCAACTGAAAACATACATCTTTAAAACGTTTCTTTTGCCGTCGCTGTCCCAGTGGTGCGGAACAAGACCACTCCTATTCACTCTCCATCTATTGAAGAACCAGTAGCTCGTTATACTAAATCCAATCGCATGTATTAGTTTACATGTAAGTAGCAGTTGACTTCCATAGGTAGAACATAACGACAGCATGAAAACAGAGTGGCACAACAGATGTCTAAATGGCCCCACACACAAGTGAGTGGCTCAAGTAGTCAACATCGAGCTAGTCGGCACTCAGTGGCTAAAGTAGTCAACATCGGGCTAGTCAACACTCAGTGGCTAAAGTAGTCAACATCGCGCTAGTCGGCACTCAGTGGCTCAAGTAGTCAACATCGCGCTAGTCAGCACTCAGTGGCTAAAGTAGTCAACATCGCGCTAGTCAGCACTCAGTGGCTCAAGTAGTCAACATCGAGCTAGTCGGCACTCAGTGGCTAAAGTAGTCAACATCGAGCTAGTCGGCACTCAGTGGCTAAAGTAGTCAACATCGAGCTAGTCGGCACTCAGTGGCTCAAGTAGTCAACATCGCGCTAGTCAGCACTCAGTGGCTCAAGTAGTCAACATCGAGCTAGTCGGCACTCAGTGGCTAAAGTAGTCAACATCGAGCTAGTCGGCACTCAGTGGCTAAAGTAGTCAACATCGAGCTAGTCGGCACTCAGTGGCTAAAGTAGTCAACATCGAGCTAGTCGGCACTCAGTGGCTAAAGTAGTCAACATCGAGCTAGTCGGCACTCATTGGCAAACGTGAAAATCGCGCTGACTTCCCTCCCAGAAATCTACCTCGTTTATAATTAAGACTGTGTTGACCCGGAAGCCAGTCTCTCATTTTTTTATTAGGTCTAGAGGTTTGTGGATATCAACCCCCGACCTTCAGATCCAGATTCAGTTGTCTAGACACTGGGGCGGCTCCCAGAGGAAGAAAAACAGACTAGAAACGGAATCAAACCGAGACTGAATGTTAAAGTGCAGAAACAGCAAAGTCGTCATCAGTAATTATTGCAGATAAGCAAGGATACACATTGCAATCATTAATGTTTTCATAAACAGAGCAACATATTGCAATCATTATGTTTTGAGAAACAGATCAACATGTTGCAATCAATAATGTTTTCATAAACAGATCAACATATTGCAATCATTTTTTTCCTTAACAGATAACATAGCTCAATCATTATGTTTTCATAAACAGATCGACATATTGCATTCAACAACGTTTTCATACAGATCAACATATTGCAGTGGTTAATATTTATAAAGAGATTATCATATTGCAGTCATTAATGTTATCATAAACATAACAACATATAGCAGTCACTAATATTTTCATAAACAGATCAAAATATTGCAGTCATTAATGACCATCCTTACATTTAGTGAGCTCCTGTCATAACTGACCCTCCTGCCTGATCCCACAAGACAACTGACCCTCCTGCCTCATCCCACAAGACAACTGACCCTCCTGCCTCATCCCACAAAACAAGAGAGACACGAGACATAAACTCAATAAGACAAGAAACACGTTGTATTGGCACACGATTTATTGAAGTTCTGCTTAAGGTTTTGGTTAGCAACTCTTCTCGATTGTTTCTGATTCTGCTAGTTTCACAACTTGACTTTCTACTTGTGGTTAAATGCTGCACCGTACTTTGTTGCCTGATGACAAAACCGTCTGCAGTTGTCAGAAGAGATGTTGACTAACTACTTCAGCCACTACAACATCTATGAGTCTGTTTGTTGGCATGCGATCGCAGAACTATGGGTAATTATTTAGTATTTTTGCAGTTTTCTTGCTTTAATTTGTCCATTGATTTGTAGCTTTCTACTGTAACGATGCACTACAGTCACTTGTATTTCCGTCATTAGATGTAATGTTTAATGCAGAAGCTGTTAATGACTAAGGCAAATAAACTGTCGTGGTTATGTTTAGTATTGGATGCTGGAGCTGTTGATGAGGTGAGACAATAAGCTACACTAGTGATGTTGGTTATAGGAGGCTGGAGCTGTTGATGAGGTGAGACAATAAGCTACACTAGTGATGTTGGTTATAGGAGGCAGGGGCTGTTGATGAGGTGAGACAATAAGCTACACTAGTGATGTTGGTTATAGGAGGCTGGAGCTGTTGATGAGGTGAGACAATAAGCTACACTAGTGATGTTGGTTATAGGAGGCAGGGGCTGTTGATGAGGTGAGACAATAAGCTACACTAGTGATGTTGGTTATAGGAGGCAGGGGCTGTTGATGAGGTGAGACAATAAGCTGCACTAGTGATGTTGGTTATAGGAGGCTGGAGCTGTTGATGAGGTGAGACAATAAGCTGCACTAGTGATGCTGCTTTTAGGAGGCAGGGGCTGTTGATGAGGTGAGACAATAAGCTGCACTAATGATGTTGGTTATAGGAGGCTGGAGCTGTTGATGAGGTGAGACAATAAGCTGCACTAGTGATGCTGCTTTTAGGAGGCTGGAGCTGTTGATGAGGTGAGACAATAAGCTACACTAGTGATGTTGGTTATAGGAGGCTGGAGCTGTTGATGAGGTGAGACAATAAGCTGCACTAGTGATGTTGGTTATAGGAGGCTGGAGCTGTTGATGAGGTGAGACAATAAGCTACACTAGTGATGTTGGTTATAGGAGGCTGGAGCTGTTGATGAGGTGAGACAATAAGCTACACTAGTGATGTTGGTTATAGGAGGCTGGAGCTGTTGATGAGGTGAGACAATAAGCTACACTATTGATGTTGGTTATCGGATGCTGGAGCTGTTGATGATGTTAGGCAATACGCTGCAATTGTGATGTTTGTTATTGCAGACTGGAGCTGTTGATGATGATAGTCAATAAGCTGCATCTGTGATGTTTGTTATCGCAGACTGGAGCTGTTGATGATGTTAGGCAATAAGCTGCACTAGTGATGTTGGTTATAGGAGGCTGGAGCTGTTGATGATGTTAAACAATAAGCTGCACTAGTAAAGCCGGTTATCGGATGGTGGAGCTGTTGATGATGTTAGGCAATACGCTGCAATTGTGATGTTTGTTATCGCAGACTGGAGCAGTTGATGATGTTAGTCAATAAGCTGCACTAGTGAAGCCGGTTATCGGATGCTGGAGCTGTTGATGATGTTAGGCAATACGCTGCAATTGTGATGTTTGTTATCGCAGACCGGAGCTGTTGATGATGTTAGTCAATAAGCTACATTTGTGATGTTTGTTATCGCAGACTGTAGCTGTTGATGATGTTAGGCAATACGCTGCAATTGTGATGTTTGTTATCGCAGACTGGAGCTGTTGATGATGTTAGTCAATAAGCTTCATTATTTGCACACCGAGGTCGTTACTGATGTTTGGAATTAGGTTAAAGTAATTCTATCGGTTCAGTTTAGTCACCAGGTTGTTACTGATGTGTGGAAGTGAGGTAAAGTAATTAAATCAGTTCAGTTTAGTCACCAGGTTGTTACTGATATGTAAAAGATAGTTGTTTTTTTCCCGTCCGCTTTAGTCGGTCTACAAATTGTTAATGATGTGTAGACGTGAGCAGTAGTTGTTCTGTCTGGTTAGTTTCCCTATTTTTGCTGACGTGCGAACGTGAATCGGAGTTATTACAGACGTTCAGTTTTGTCTTCAGTCTGTTCCAGGTGAATGTAGAAAAATGTTTCAGTAGTTTCATCTGTTAATTTAGTTTCTATTTTCTTCCAGAAGTGGGGAAATGTTTACAATTGTTACATCTGTTTAGGTTAAACATTTTCGTTCCACATTTTAAAATGGCTTCCCGAAGCCACTGCATACCCTCCGACGTACCTCTTGTAAAACGGAAATGCATAGGCGTGTTCACGGAAACACAGTTCTCGTTCTATATTGCAGTCGACAGAGCCGTAGGCCTCGATGCCATAGTTGGATTTCTGTCGACATAACATACGGTCAAGTGAGTATTACACTAACGATGCTTGTACATGATTAGATTTAATTTCTCAGCTTCAAGATGGTTAAATCTTACTCTCCCGTCCTCTTTTTTTAAGCTCTGACTCCACCGCTGCCGTATGTTTGGTCACTGCCCTTAGCTGCAGATGAGTCTCCTAACGGCCCCTAGGCCGCTCCACAACCCCTCAAACTTGACCGACGAAGCTACCACCCACCCAGCTGCCTCAGCCCCACCACCCACCCAGCTGCCTCAGCCCCACAAGGGGCTGTAGTGCTCGTTATAAGAATAATTGTGTAAAAGGCTGATTACCCCCCCCCCCCTCGCCCCCATTTCACCGATACAATTATTCTTCCCCCTATCGCTTCCATAACGTTCAACAGAACTGTAGAGCTGACTAATTAAAACAAAGGTCTCATTACATCTGCGTATGTGTGTTCTGGAATATGTTTGTCTCCGGTCGTAAGCTGTTTTCAGCTATCACACACCCCATCGCTAACTCCACATACTATTGTCAGCATATGTGTGTAAAAAACGTCGGTATAACTAATATCATTTATTTATTCTCCGGTCCTTTACTTATCTCCTTTATTTATTCTCCCGCCCTTTACTTATCTCCTTTATTTATTCTCCCGTCCTTTACTTATCTCCTTTATTTATTCTCCCGCCCTTTACTTATCTCCTTTATTTATTCTCCCGTCCTTTACTTATCTCCTTTATTTATTCTCCCGTCCTTTACTTATCTCCTTTATTTATTTCTCCCGTCCTTTACTTATCTCCTTTATTTATTCTCCCGTCCTTTACTTATCTCCTTTATTTATTTTCCCGTCCTTTACTTATCTCCTTTATTTATTCTCCCGTCCTTTACTTATCTCCTTTATTTATTCTCCCGTCCTTTACTTATCTCCTTTATTTATTCTCCCGTCCTTTACTTATCTCCTTTATTTATTCTCCCGTCCTTTACTTATCTCCTTTATTTATTCTCCCGTCCTTTACTTATCTCCTTTATTTATTCTCCCGTCCTTTACTTATCTCCTTTATTTATTCTCCCGTCCCTTACTTATCTCCTTTATTTATTCTCCCGTCCTTTACTTATTTCCTTTATTTATTCTCCCGTCCTTTACTTTTCTCCTTTATTTATTCTCCCGTTCTTTACTTATCTCCTTTATTTATTCACCTGTCCTTTACTTATCTCCTTTATTTATTCTCCTGTTCTTTACTTATCTCCTTTATTTATTCTCCCGTCCTTTACTTATCTCCTTTATTTATTCTCCCGTCCTTTACTTATCTCCTTTATTTATTCTCCCGTCCTTTACTTATCTCCTTTATTTATTCACCTGTCCTTTACTTATCTCCTTTATTTATTCTCCCGTCCTTTACTTATCTCCTTTATTTATTCTCTCGTCCTTTACTTATCTCCTTTTTTTATTCTCCCGTCCTTTGCTTATCCGTGTCTGCACCGCTGCTGTATTTTTTTGTCGGTACCTAAAAGTACCACAAAGGTTCTAGTACACACGTATTGAATAACTGGACAGCTCATGTGTTCTTTTCTTGATATTACTTAAAAAAATTACCACTACTCATTTTTATGTAAACAAGGAACTGGCTACGACACAAAGAAAACAATCAAGGTGCTCAGCCCTATCACGGATTATTAAGGAGTCAAGGGAGATGGGCTGAAATCGTCTAAGTCTTGAAATTTAAGTAAGTATATTTGTTTTCCATAAATGCTGAGTGAAACTAACAACATGATCTATAGCTAGCATTTAACGTGTATTTTCATGTGTATGTGTGCTAGATCTTTGACAAGAAGCTGATACTCCATATTTCGTAGGTGATAACTCTCTCTCTCTCTCTCTCTCTCTCTCTCTCTCTCTCTCTCTCTATATATATATATATATATAGATATATATATATATATATATATATATATATATATATATATATATATATATATACATATATATACATATATATATATATACACATTTATATATATATATATATATATATATATATATATATATATATATATATATATATATATATATATATATATATATATATATACATATAAAGATAACTTTTAATTATTGTAGCAATAATTAAAAGAAATGACCTTAAACCTGGCAACTATTTTTTCAGCACGATGATGACCACTTCAGCCACTGACGGCCGACAAGCACGATGTTGACCTACCACTTCAGCCACTGACGGCCGACAGTCGCGATGTTGACCTACCACTTCAGCCACTGACGGTGGACAATCGCGGTGTTGACCAACCACTTCAGCCACTGACGGCTGACAATTGCGGTGTTTACCAACCACTTCAGCCACTGACGGCTGACAATCGCGGTGTTGACCTACCACTTCAGCCACTGACGGCTGACAATCGCGGTGTTGACCAACCACTTCAGCCACTGACGGCTAACAATCGCGATTTTGACCAACCACTTCAGCCACTGACGACCGACAAGCACGATGTTGACCACTTCAGCCACTGACGGCTGACAAGCACGATGTTGACCAAACACTTCAGCCACTGACGGCCGACAAGCACGATGTTGACCTACCACTTCAGCCACTGACGGCCGACAAGCACGATGTTGACCAACCACTTCAGCCACTGACGGCTGACAATCGCGATGTTGACCAACCACTTCAGCCACTGACGACCGACAAGCACGATGTTGACCAACCACTTCAGCCACTGACGGCTGACAATCGCGATGTTGACCTACCACTTCAGCCACTGACGGTGGACAATCGCGATGTTGACCAACCACTTCAGCCACTGACGGCTGACAATCGCGATGTTGACCAACCACTTCAGCCACTGACGGCCGACAAGCACGATGTTGACCAACCACTTCAGCCACTGACGGCCGACAAGCACGATGTTGACCACTTCAGACCTTGAGTGCTGACTAGTCTATAAATTATATGTCTAGAATGATGTATGCCTAAGGGAGTTAACAATGGTCCTTTGCTTTACATTGGTTTCTTGTCCTGCCATTGTTTGTCTCTGGAGTATTGTGTTAATGCAACTTTCAAGAATATGTGTTTATAATTCTAAACTAAACTGATGTTATAATTTTTCCTTACAGCACACACTTTCCTTAAAAAAAAAAAAAAATGTGAATAAATGTGTATATTTTACATATTTGTTTAAAAAAAAAAAAGAAAAAAAAAAACACACACACACACACTACTACTGATGCAAGAACATCAAAAAACAATAGTAGCAGCTACTACTACTATTAGGACTACAACCACCAGCACCTTCACTAATACTGGTACTAATTTCTTGTTTTGCCATTACAAAGAAAAAAGCGACAACGCCCCCTCCCCTCCCCCCCCCCCCACTCCCGCCTTTCTGAGCCGACGTGTTCCTCAGATTTTACCTAGAACATTTGTAAGGTGAAGAAAAGTGATGTGGTTGTTGGCCTCCCCCCCCTCTCCTCTCCTCTCTTTGTCGCCCATCTCTGTGGTAACTTCACGTCAGCGCACCTGTACACGCAAGAGAGCAAACATGCGTAGTTACACCTAGCAACTGTTGCTATAGGTAGATCTAGTCTAAGATGACACTACTTCAGCAAAAACATGCCGCCTCTGACGAGAGAACACAAGTGAGTGGTTTCAGCAAAGCTCCTAACAAAACTAGAAGAGCTCTTGTAAGAAATAACGAAAAAAAAAAAAAAAAAGAAAGATGGGAAACAAAAATATTATCCATCGATAAAGTTGTCAAGAAACAAAGATAGAAATGGTTCTGTCACATAAGGAGAAAGAACCCAACTAAGTCACCCGTGAGTGTACAGCATGAGAAAAGAAAACATGAAGAGACAGAAAAAGACATTGAAGAAGAATACATCATACAGGATTCACAGCCATGTTAAATCCTTACATCCGCACAGGACTGCTAGTAGCCAAGCCTGCCCTAGCTCGGCTTACTTTCACCAGTTAAACTGCGACATGAAGCAGCACAAAGCAGTTAGAAAAGAAGGAACTATCAGAGACTGTACTGAAAACAATCGACTGATTACAGTAATACAATTACATGTTTTATGTGTCAGCTAAAACGAAGAAAAGCATGGTAGTGACTAGAGCAGTTATGTGACAAACTGTTATGTGACAAACTGTTATGTGACAAACTGTTATGTGACAAACTGTACCTCTTGAGCCTGTCTGTCCCACACTTTGATGATGTCTGGCAAAGTTTTTTTACCGTCGTAGAACATCACAGCAGTCGTCATATACTCGTTGATGAAGTTGTGAAAATTTGTTTCGGTGAGCGGCCGCGCTTTCGCAGGACGTGGTGGTTCTTCACCGAACTCTGCTGCTAACTGGAAGCAGGGGGGTTTGATACCTCCACATGCTCCCCTGGTCGGTGATGTAGGGGACTCTTTCTCATCAGTCAATTCAGGGGATATATCTTCTAGAGTGTAAACAGACGCGTTTGGCGATTCTGGAGAACTAAGAGACTCATCTTCACGAAAACTGTGATCTCTGTACGGCGAGTAGAAGTCACTAAAGTAGGCCGACTCTGGCTTCTTTTTTCTAGGCGTGGCTGCCTGTTTATCACGGCAATAGTTCATATAACGTTGCGTCTTTCTAAACAGATTCCTTTTTGCATCTCTGTGGCCTGGTGGAGGCACTGGGTATTGGCTTGGTGAAACAAAAGTTGGGGTTGGCGGACGGCGAACAATTTTCCTTACCCGTCTCTCTCTGGGAGCTGGGGGTGTTGTTGGAGAATCCACTCTCCCTCTGGGAGCTGGGGGTGTTGTTGGAGAATCCACTCTCCCTCTGGGAGCTGGGGGTGTTGTTGGAGAATCCACTCTCCCTCTGGGAGCTGGGGGTGTTGTTGGAGAATCCACTCTCCCTCTGGGAGCTGGTTGTGGTGTTGGCGAATCCACATCCCCAAACAAAGTAGCTGAATCTAGGTGGTAGCGCACGGTTGGAGAGAAGCTACTTGTCTCCTCGCTACATGATGATGTTGATGAGGCAGTGGAGGTGTCGAAGTATTTATGTTTGTTGTATGGTGACGTTGGTGAGAGAATCAAGCTGTCGACATAACTATCTTCGTCAATCCATGATGATGAAGATGATGATAATGAGCGAATGGATGTGCTGGGACTTTTCTTTTCGTCGTGTGATGATGTTGATGAACGAATGGATGTGTCGGGATCTTCATTTTCGTCGCGTGATGATGTTGATGACCGAGTGGATGTGTAGGCATATTCAGGTTTGTCGTATGCTGATGGTGATGAACGAATGCGTGTGTCGAACTTATCACGTCTGACGTTTGAATATTTTAATGAGTGACTGGAGGTGTGGGGATTTTTATGTTTCTGGTAGATAACCTGTTGTGGGGACAAAAAAGAATGGAAAATCGAAGGTGAAAGTCCCAATGTCAGTTTTGAAAAGCTTGGTCTCTTTTCGCTAAGGGATGACCATTGATTGAGAGTACACGGCGTGTCTTGTCTACTGCTTGTGTTCAAGATATTGGCTTGTCCGTTTGTTCCCGGCAATTGTTGCCTCAACAAGTCTTTGTCGGTATGTTCTTGAGAGGTGAGATAACTGAGTGGTGTGGGTTTCAAGTACGGTTCGGCTATTTTCTGTTCATGGCTGACCAATTGTGCTGTCTCGGGGATAATGCCAGGTGCCAGATGGGACTGTTTCATCATTCCTAGCTGCGGTGTTGGATGACCAGTCCCGTAAGACTGACGCTGGTCTTTCTCTGTTGCCCGAGACTGCAATAAACTTGCGTATTTGTTGTTGTGATTCCAGCTGTGTACCCACAATAGGTGTAAATATTTGAACACAGAACGGTTTACAAGTGAGCCGATCGTGGCTAAAGTTGATCTTTAAAGGGGCATCTTTGTTTTAGATGTGAATTGTGTACGATGCAGCACTTACCCACAATCATGCAAGCTTATGTATGGTTATAGAAAATAGTTTACATCAGAGGTAGATGATCATTATCATAATGATTATGGGAGCTGCCAAATCAACTAAAGACACAGAGAGACAGAGTGCCGTCTGAAGACATATTTTGCGTTTTGCTGATGCCCAGTAACGTCACCTTGTTGGTGCGATGCGGGTGTGGTCTGGTGCTATCGTGTGCAGACAATGTGTCTTTCTCTGCAGTTGACGTTTGCATTCTAAGTGACAACCCTCGAAAGCATACTTCTGATACGAATTGGTTTTAACTTTGCAGAATGTGTCTGTCCCCAGCCTTCAGCCGCATTTAGATTGCCATATTGTCCCTAGTCTACAGCTATATAGAGATCGTCAGTTCAGTCCCCAACCTACAGATTCACGTAGATCTCAATTTCTGTCCCCAGCCTACAGCTCTATATAGATCATTTCTGTCCCTAGCCTACAGCTCCATATAGATCGTCATTTCTGTCCCCAGCCTACAGCTCTATATAGATCATTTCTGTCCCTAGCCTACAGCTCCATATAGATCATCATTTCTGTCCCCAGCCTACAGCTCCATATAGATCGTCATTTCTGTCCCTAGCCTACAGCTCCATATAGATCGTCATTTCTGTCCCTAGCCTACAGCTCCATATAGATCATCATTTCTGTCCCCAGCCTACAGTTCCATATAGATCGTCATTTCTGTTCCTAGCCTGCAGCTCCATTTACATTGTCATATCTTTCACCAGCCTACAGCTCTGTATAGATCGTCACTTCTGTCCCAAACCTACAGCTCTGTATAGATCGTCACTTCTGTCCCAAGCCTACAGCTCTGTATAGATCGTCACTTCTGTCCCCAGCCTACAGTTCCATATAGATCATCATTTCTGTCCCCAGCCTGCAGCTGCATTTACATTGTCATATCTTTCACCAGCCTACAGTTCCATATAGATCATCATTTCTGTCCCAAGCCTACAGCTCCATATAGATCAATATATCTGTCCCCAGTTGAAGTTTGTTTTCTGTACAGTGTGTCATCAAGTCTGTCCCCTGTCCCGTGTGTCTTTTATATCTTTCGCCCGTACAATGTGTCATCAAATCTGTCTCCTGTCCGTGTGTCTTCATATCTGTCGCCCGTACGATGTGTCATCAAGTCTGACTCCTTTCCCGTGTGTCTTCATATCTGTCGCCCGTACAATGTGTCATCAAGTCTGTCTCCTGTCCCGTGTGTCTTCATATCTGTCGCCCGTACGATGTGTCATCAAATCTGTCTCCTGTTCCGTGGGTCTTCATATCTGTCGCCCGTACGATGTGTCATCAAGTCTGTATCCTTTCCCGTGTGTCATTATTTCTTCTCTGCACTGCATTTTGTCGTGACAAGTCTGCAGCCTTCTGTATAAATGTACCATTGATCATATTAGGTCTTTTTTGTAAGTGAAACCCAGCCTCTGCCAGCACTCCCTATAATCGTTAGTTCTTGTCTCTAGGACCCTACCCTGTGTCCTCGAGCAAGACAAGAGACATGAGACATAACGTGAGTTACACAAGATCAACGCTGTTTTGGCGCTCGATTTATTAAAGTCAAGGTTTTGGTTGGCGACTGTTGTCGATTTTGTGTGCTTCTGCTAGTTAGGATATAAGTGACTCCTTGAGTGTGAAAGTTCATGAGGCGGCAGAACTGGCAAGAGACCGAGTTTCTTACAGAATGTGATGAGAGCGACGTTCTGCAAAGAACATGCTACATGATGATGATGATGTTAGTTTCACGCCTTGACTTTCTACTTGTGGTTAAATGCTGCACCGTACTTTGTTGCTTGATGACACCTAACTCCAAAGTTATCAGACCTGAAATTTTCTCTACTACATCGAAGAGTCTGTTTATGGGCATGCGATCGCAGAAGTACAGTTAGTTGTTTAGATATCACAAATTGTCTATTGATGTGTAGCTTCGTAATAAAAGCCTGACAGCAGTCACTTGTGTTTACGTCATCAGCTGTAATGGTTAGTACTGAGGCAGTTGATATCGTGCGGTAATCAGCTGTCGTGGTGATGTTTAGTATCGGAGGCTACGGCTGTTGAAGATTTCAGGCTACAAGCTGCAAAGTGTCGCTTGAGTTAGAGTAGCTCTATCTTTTTAGTTTAGTCTTCAGGTAGTTGCTAATGTGCAGGAGTGAGTTTTTTTTTTTATCTGCAAGTTAGCCTACATATTGCTGAAGATATGATTAATGAGTAGAAGTTGTTGTATGCATTTACTCTTTATATTGTTACTGGTGTGCAAAAGTGAGTCGGAGTTATTCCATACGTTTAGTCTAGTCTCCAGGTTGTTATTGGTGTACTGAAATGAGATTTAGTTAGTAGTTTCATCGGTTACCTTGGTTTAAATATCGCTACTAATGTGGGCCGATGATTTCAATTGTTACATCTGTTTAGGTTAACTAATTTCTAATTCCACATTTGTATATTTTGTCCGGAATAGACTGGGTACCCTCCGGAGTATATCTTGTAGAAGGGAAATGAAGGAATGTTTTCACGTAAACACAGGTCTGATTCCCTTTCGCAGTTGACAACGCCGTAGGCCCGGTCGCCGGATTGGGATTCCTGTGGATAGAACATAGATGTCACCTGAGTGTTACAGAGACCCCGCTCCTACATGACTAGACTTACCTGCCCAGTCTCACAGGGCATAGTTCCAGTATTCTCTCTCCTCTATATCACTTATGTCTCTACCGCTGCTATATGCCCGCCTCTCTAGCGTAGTTGACTAAACCGGATTGCGCGGTGAGCGGGTGACCAACTCCTTGTGGTCCTGGTTCACTCCCGGGGGTGAGCAGAAAAGCCACATTTCTCTCAGATTTACGGTATTTACAATGGAATCAAGGCCGAAAGCTTGCGATATCCATAATACCGAGCCTAAGGGTTAACAACTCATGGCTTCTGGATACTAAAACAAAGCGTTGCTATATTTTCGTTTATCTCCCTAATTGCACGTGAGGCTCTTGTCGAGCCCTAGACCCTGTAGAACTATCCCTAAATGTGACCGACGGAGCTACCACCCCCTCAACTAATTCAGCCTGGGGGGGGGGGAATATGACTAAGGCGCTTTAACACACATTATGAGGAGACTAGATTGCGGCTTGTACCGCTCCTACCCCACCCCTAAATGTAATCAAAAAATTACTGTCCCTTCTATCGCCTGACTCCAGCGCAGCACTTGCCCAACAGGAGGGTAGCCCTGTTTGAACTGAATCTGCGTCCCTGCTTTTTAGGAAAGGTTTGCCTCCAATCGTAAGCTATCACAGGACTGATCACTCTCTCTCTCTCTCTCTCTCTCTCTCTCTCTCTCTCTCTCTCTCTCTCTCTCTCTCTCTCTCTCTCTTGTCTTGTCCACAATTGCCTCACAGCGTAGTGGGGAGTCGCAGTTTTCTATCCTGGGCCAGGTGTGTTGCACGTGTTGTTGTTAGTCCGTGTTGCCTCAGGATCTCTGATATATTGTCTATCCATCGTACTCTCGGTCTGCCTCTTGCTCTAGGGCAGTAGTGCTGTTCGTTGTATGCTCGTAGAGGCAGTTGGTCGGTTTGCATTCGCATCAAGTGGCCAAACCACTCTATTTGTTGCTTCTTTATGTATTGCAGGCATGGTGTGGTTCCTACAATTGATCTAATGTTCTCGTTTCGAACTCTGTCTCTCCTTGTGACATTGGCAGCCTTACGTAAGCATCTCATTTCGCACGTCGTGATCTTTTTCTCATGTGCTCTTGTTAGGGACAAGGTTTGGCATTGGTAGCAGAGGGTTGGTATAAACATGCAATTTATCAGTTGTCGTTTTAGTTCCATAGTGATTGATGCTTGGGTGTTTTAGCAGTGGGGAGAGTTGGTAAGTTACTGCGTTCGCCTTTTGACATCTTGCCTCAAGTTCCTTATCAATTCTTCCATCATCTGTGAAGATGCTCCCCAAGTATTTAAATTGCTGCACTTGTTTGAGTTGTTCGTTGTTAACTCTTACTCTTGCTAATGCCAGCATTTATGTTTAAGCCCTGTTACAGTACGCAATAAGTATAATTTTTTATTTGTTTATACCGAGGAAAAAAGACTTCTTGATCCAAGTCTCGAGCTTTACATGCACATCCGTTAAACAACAGGCAGATATAACTGCTAGATCCTGTTGTTGTTGTTTTTGTTTTTTTTTCAATAAATCTGTTCTAGATTTCGACAAACGTAATAAATTTAGCCGCTTGAAGTTCATTGGATTGGATTTCATCATCATCATGTAGCAGGTCCTTTGCAGAACGTCGCTCTTATCACAGTCTGCCTGAAAGAAACTCGATCTCTTGCCAGTTATCCCGCCTCATGAACTTTCACACTAGGGGGTCACTTATATCCTGTGCCCATCGTCCTGACGGTCGGCCCTTGCCCAACCTTCCTGCTACCATGCCTTCTGCTATAATTTTTTTCCAATCCCTCGTGGCGCTTGATATGACCAAAACATTTTAGCTTCTGAGATAGGATGCTATTTATTAGCCAATCTTCCTGGATGTTCAGATCTTACAAAAGGTCAGTATTTCTCCTCTTCTTTGTCCAAGATATTCTAAGAATCTTTCTATAGCATTTCAGCTCAAAAGAATTGGATTTACTCAACTGGAAAAGTTGTTTGGAACATTTTGAGATACAATTTTATGAATAAATTTATCCTTGTTAACAACTGACGATAACTGACAACTTTCCGTGTTTCTAGAAGATTGTGTTGTATTGAGCTATCAGGAGGC